CCTAGGCGCACCTCCCACCTGGAGCTGGTCAACAGGGAGAGGAAGCCAGAGAGGATCTTCCGCGTCCTCGTGGAGCTGGAGTGCACCTGCACGAGGGAAGAGCGCAGGGAGATCATGCTGTGCTTCCTCCACCGTGCCAAGGCAGACCTGACGAGAAATCATGGTCCCAGCTTCCTAGACATTCTCTGCACCGACTCCTGCCTAGATGGGCACAAAACCGCCCTCTGGTTCCAGAGGTTTGTGAGGTCAAACTGGGGGTTGGTGCCTCAGACACGTGGCTATAACATGAAGGTGCTGCCCTCCAGCCGCTCCTGCAAGCTGCAGCTGACAAATGCCTCCGGGAGACCCCTCTTTGTGGAGATGATATTTGCTGTGCAGCAAGGCGACTCGGATGTCTTCCTGACCAGCCAGGCCACAGAGGACACCTTCACCCATGGCACGATATGGCCAGAGAGCTACGCTGTGGCAGAGGTGAAGTTCTTCAGGCTCATGGCCAGGCAGGTCCCGCAGGGCAGTTTACACCTCAAATATCTGCACCTCTTTGCCTGTAGCCTGGCGGGCACAGACTTTGACACCTACACCTTCAAGACGGTTGTGATGCACCTCCTGAACACCACAGCCCCGTCAGCCTGGTGCAGCAGGCATTTCCTGCCACGGTTGGAGGATATCATGTGGAAACTCTGCCTCTGCCTGCAAGAGAGACGCCTCAACCATTTCTTCTTTGGCAATGAGAGCATGCCCAAGGAGATAATCTTGCCCCCGGACTTCCAAACGGCCCAGCCACTCAACCTCTTCGAGTACCTGGAGCAGGATCCGGTTGCCCACAACAAGGCCAAAGAGGATCTGGAGCTGGTGGAAAGTCGCCTCTTAAGTGTGCTCTTTCCTCGTCGCTGAAAGAGATTGTCCTGGTTCATCCTTGCTTTATCCCTTGGTTCATTACTGTCTTTGTTATCACTGCTGTTCATTCCTCCCCTTCCAACTTTACAATAAAAACAACACAAAGAATGGGTTGTGTACTCTCCATTCTGTTCCTATGGGCTGCTAGTTCTCCTGGCACTAGCCTGCCAGCACCCGAAACTGCGTGAGATTATAATAAACATGACATCTCGTCGCTCTGTGTGGAATGGATTTTGCACACTGGGTAAAGAATCCACTTCTGGGACAACACTCCACCCCACCTTCCTCCCTTCCCGTCTCTTTTCCTGGAGTCCCAGAAAAGCAAGGCTAGCAAAATTCATTCTGCAGCACTTGCACAAAGATTTTGTGGTATTGACTAACTGGGGATCAGCTCTGGGGAGAAGAACCGGAGGATCCGAGGGGTTGTGCAATTTCCATCCTTGGAAACGCTTCTAACACTTGTCTGGATACAGCTCATTTGGGGGTCTCAACCTCTGCAGAGGTCTTTATGCACACAGCTGTCTCTGCGGAGCTCACAGCTGAGGGCAGAACTGAGCACACAGGACACAGAGAAGATGCCCGTGATGTGCTCTGGTGCCTGTGACACCACCGGCACGCGTCACGATGTGGGCTGGTTAGAAGTGCACAGCTGTGATGATGGCTGGTTCATCAGATAGACTGTCCCCATTTACCTTCTGAACAGGTTTTCACTCCGGTTAAGAAGCAGATATGGGGTGTCAGCATCACATGAGGGTGTTGCACCTACAGCAGCTCTCAGCACTCAGGAAGCACTCAGCTTTCGTGACTGGATTGAATGGTGTCCAGCCAGCCCAGAGTCCAGACCCACAAGGTGGGAAGGAGTCCATAGCGGTGCTTTGGCTCAGCCCAGAACCTTCTTCTCTCAGTACCTCTTGCTCCGCAGCTAGAGGGGACCCAGCTTTGTGAACCTCTGCCAAGAATGTGTTCTGCAACTTTTCACTTGCATTCTGGGCAATAGAAGGAGAGAAGCACAGTCACAGCTAATGGAAATTATTCATAACTTTCTGAGGAATGGCTCCAGGTGAAGCACTCTACTGAGTGAATCAAGTTAATCCCCCTTCCTTGCTTCCCCAAAGCAACTCATTTGTGAAATCCCAGGAATGAACAGATACGTTGCTTTCACTCCCTCTTTC